GGAGACTGAGTTGTCCACACAGACCATGATGTGTGCCACGCAGCAGCACTTGGTACATACACTGTGAGAGGAGTCACAGGCACCAGTGCAATTCAGGTGTTGAATAACAGTTGCCATAGCTCAGTTCCAGTGTCCTTTAAGCCAAATCTGCAGCTTCTAGGAACAAGTGCTTGTTTAATGTCACACCCTAAAAGGTTTCCTGGGAGGAAAGCCTTCTTTCCTCCCAAGTGGTAAGAATACTGCTCCATGCTGCTGCTGTCATAGTGGCATTTTACAAGCAGTAGAGTTGGGCTGTGTTTATAAGGCTCTTGTTGTTGATTTTACCTTGTGAGTCACACAGTAATGGGCTTCACTCCCCAGGTCAAATGTTTGGCTGCCAGCTGTGATCTTCATCCGACAGCAAAACAAGCATTCACCAGTGTGATGGCCAGGAGTTCAAAATGATGAGCTAAAGCTCAAACACCCGAGTAAGGAGTCCTCCAGACCCAAAGTCAACATATTTAATTCTCTCAGCTTTGTAACCAACAATACGAGCTATAAACTCGGAGGGCACTCAAAAGTTCACTCGCATCTTGACTATGTCAGGCAGAACGTGGAATGCTGTAGTTTGGGTGTATTGAAGAAGAGTTCAACAGTGGCTGCCTATGCTTTCTCAACTTGCAGGTTTTGTTAAGGATCTTACCTTTGTAATTATGGACATGAAGCACTCAATCCAGACACTCCTCACCATGCAGGGCAATTCAGGAGACAGAAGTGAGTGTTGTAGCTTGAACTCATCTTTAATTATCTGGTGTTTGTTCACACTCAAATCAAACAAACAGAGTGAAATGTCCTACCAGCATAGTCCATAATTCATTACTGTGTTGATTTCTCTCCTAGGCTACAGTGACATCAGTAAATAATAGAAAACTGGATCCTGTCAGAGGAATGAAAGAAGGATTATCTGATGTGGTGGGCAAATGCTCTCCCAGAGACATGATAGCTATGGCAGCCTGCAAGAAAAATAGAGTGAAAGCACATGAGATTTAACTCATCAGAAATGTGAGTTTAATGCAGATTTGTGTTTTTATGTTTTAGCATCTGGAGCTTCCAATGTGTGTGACCACATCCTCCTTAAATTCAGCAAGCTTTTAAAAGCGAACCACAAAGGAAACACAGAACTGACTTATTTAGGGAGAAAGAAAAGCTTTTGTTTTCTGTTATTTTACATGGACACAGCCCCACTTCTTCTGGGTCTTTTGCTATGCAAGCAGATCCTCATTGTCCCAGAGGATGTCTCCCAGTCCTTCAGGCATTACCCATCTCCTGTCTTTAAGCTGCAGTAATAATATCTCCTCTATTCCTGACCCACAGGAATAGAGGAGAAAAATTGTACTGATAGAACATCTGAACAGCCTGGCAGAACAGGGGAGCCAGACTTCACCTCTTCTTTTCTCTGCAAGACAGTAAGAGATCACATCAAGGCATCTCCTTTGATTTTCCATTTCTCAGCCTCAGACTGCACCTGTGAGCTGCTCTTCTGTCAGAGAGAAAACCCATGTGATGGTTATTTAAGGAAGCAGACCACACGCGTTCACACCACTGAGGAGTCCAGGTCCCACAGGAAACCATCAGGTTTTGATTCCTATCTCAGACTATAGGCAGGTACATCACTGAGACCAAAACTTGAGCTTTGTGCAGGTTGATGTTTTCTGAGCCACTGCCCCAGAAAAAGTCTCAGGGAATGCAAAAAGCCACTGCCAGGATGCCAGCCCATTGCCAGTGCTCAAATTCCACAGCTCCATTTCCCGGATGCCATCTTCAGCAGTGCCATATAGGAACAGTGACCACAGGAGTGGCCTTTTGCCAAGAGACAGGGTGATGGAGATAAACACGGATTCTTTGGGCTGGGGATGGCTGTGCTGAACAGCAGATGGTGCAAGAGGAAGCATAGCCATCAGGATAGGCCAGCGTTTTTCCTAGATGATGGTGAGTCAAAGCCAACAAGCTGTTGGCTCCTGCCTTACGTGGTGTCCAGTCCAGGAGAACAGAGAGGACTGGTGGCAGAGGGTTGAGCTATGAATGTGGGAAGGTCAGCAGAGGAGGGAGAGCCTTGAGGCAGGAAAGCGATGCTTAGGAAGACGTGCTGAACTCACTCTAGACTGGGTGGGGCAGAAGACCAAAACATGAATCAGCTACTGAGGCTGAAAGGAAGCTAGTCGTGGTCATTGGAAGTTGGCTGCCACTGACTCGCCTCATTGCCAGCCAGTGCAATGCAAGCTGGACAGGATATGCCTGGCAAAAATCCTGCAGAAGTTGATTAAATCATCATGCTTTTGCTGCCCAAAGCCCTTCCCACACCTTTTCTCTGCAGTGGCTTGTACAACAATTCTCTAACACCCTTCAGCATCTCCCATGCACCTTCTGATTCCTGCTATCCAGCTGTCAGACCGCAGGGGAAGAGTAAGGGAAGATGGAGCACTGTGCTGACTATTGCTTCTGCACTGAGATCTTTTCTGTTTTGCCATTCAGGGTGTAAGAACAAGGAGGACTAGAGAAGTGAACCACAGTGGAGGAGAACCAAAGTCACCAAGAACTCCTAGGGCACTCTTGCTGCCCCATGGGAACCAGGGAGGATGAATTATGAGTTTGACTTGTTCATTTGACTATGGGATACCTGATGGTCCTGGATGCAGCAGTGTTATAGGAAAACTCTGGCCATGTTGTGGAGTGATGAACCTGTCTTAACACAGTTCTCAGGAGACTTCTCTGTGGTAGGGCTCTCCACTGATGCCAACATATCCTCCAGTGTCTTTCAAAGAGATTATCCATCACCACATGCTTCTCCAAGTTTCTAGGTCAGCCCTGGTGGCCATGGGTAGGGGTGGAGCATAAGCCTCAAGTTCCCAGCCATTAAGGGTCACCACTGCCCGCCTGAGAGGTCAAGTCACCATCTGGGGCAGAGTAACAGATACAGACTTTGGCCTCCCTTAGTTACTGTTCTCTGCTAGAACAGTGAACGGCTGGTGAGTGATGTCAGTCTGTTTCTCCCAAATTTAAGAAACAAAAGCGTATGAATTCACCGCAGTTGAACTGAACTTATATCAAATGTAAAGATATATTATCATTGTTAGTGATTATTTCTTCTCCTCAAAGCATACTGGGCATCTAAAAGATATCTAAAAGCCAAGTTGTTTTCTTCATGTCATTTATAGAAAAGGAGTCTTCTGGGACAACCAAGGTAGACTCTCAACCCCTCCTCCAGCCCTTGTATGGCAGTCGTTAGGCTCTGGTTCAGTATGTAGGGCCAGGAAAACTGAAACCCAATCACAGGCTTCTGCTTCCTCAACTCTAAATGATAAAACAGGAATCTTACCAAAGCACAACTTCATGAAAGGCAAGGCAGACAAAAAGATTGACAAAATGGCATCATAAACAACTAAACAAGCCTCATTTTTTCCCAAGGATCCCATGTTATCAATGGCCTCTCTCTTCTAATTTCTGTGAGCCAGCTATCAGCCCTTTCCTAGGTTGTGTCATGAAAGAGGGAATTTCCTAATGAAGCTCCTGGGGCTATGATAGAATGACTGAAAGAGTTGGGGATCACATGTAGAATTGTAGAATCACAGCATCATTAAGCTTGGAAAAGACCTCTAAGATTCCCAAGTCCAACCATTAGTCCACCCCCACCATGCCCACTGACCACATCCCTCAGTGCCACACCTCCATGGCTCTACAAACCTCCAGGTAAACACCACCACCTCCCTGGGCAGCCTGTGCCACTGCATCACCACTCCTTCTGAGAAGAAACTGCTCATAATATCCAATCTGAACCTTCCCTGGGGTGAGATGGCATAGCAAACAGGTTGGTAGATAACAGAGGAACCAGGATGAGAGACAATGTGAACTCCTACCAAGCGGAGAAGGAGTCTGAGGGCCTCATCAGGAAACTGCCAGTGGCAGAGGGATCATCCTTGCTGGCTGGAGGTTTACCTGGCCTCCAGATGGGGACCAGCCAGCAGTGGAGCTATGGGAAAGATGGGGCTGCTCCACACTTCTGCACCGCAGCCAGCTCTGTGCAGTTCATCTCTCCAGATTTCCTGGTATTTGTTCTCTTGTTCTGGGAAGAGAGGAGAGCTGCAAGAGGCCCTTCTCACAGGGACGCGTAGAGAAAGGAAAGGCCATTGTGTGAAAGAATTTGGTATTTCAGGGTTTGTTTTCCTTTTGACACAGTACAAAACAGCACCATGTCAAAACCCTCCATAAGTCAAAACATAACAACAACAAGGAAGAACAACAAAAATAACAGTGGTGTTCATTTTGGATATGATCGGTGGAAGTGTTTCTCTTTGCTTTTTGTCTTTTCCATCTCGAAATCTCTACAACTGCAACTATTTCAGGAGAATGGGAAGAAAAAAATCATAGAATTGTTTGAGTTGGAAGGGACCCTTAAAGGTCATCTATCAAACTCCCCTGCAACAAACAGAGCTAACAAGAGAGCCTTTCCCAGCATCAAGGTAGGCTCAGCACTGCCACAGCCCTCCTGCCCACCTCCGTGGATTCTCCATGTGATGGCACTGAGACCCAACCATCTCCCCTCCTCTTGGAAGCAGTGCAAGCCATAAGCAGCAGCGCCCTGGGTTTTGCACGAGGTCTCCTTTAGCAGAAGGACTTCTGCACAGCACAGGCAAGAAGTTAGAAAGGTTAGGTGTGAGGCTGCACGACCAGCAATGGGGAATCATGAATGCGTGCAGTGCTTTGGGTCAGACCCTCCACGTAAGGAGCTCCTGGGCCAGCTCCCCGATGCCCTGTGTGGGTTCATGCCTCTTCCTCGTGCTTTCAGCCCCCAGAAGGATGCTGTTTCGTGGCCACTGGAGCTCAGATGAGTTCCCCCCATGGAGCAATTTGCAGTGCTGGTCCCTCCAGCTCACTGCTCGCTGCCGCTTCTCCCCGCCAGCTTTTGCAGAGCGTTTGGCGCGGTGCCCGGCAGCCTTTCACTGCTGCCTTTTCATTCCCCTTAATTCACTGCCTTTCCTTGCAAGGAACAGAGGGAGAGCTTGTTCCAGCAGACGGGCCCCATCCGCTCCTCCCGTCCGAGGGCTGGGAAGAAGGGATGGAGGCGAACGAACTCTCCCACCCCTCCGGGGCCCCGCGGACGCGCTGCTTCCCAGAAAATACGGTAAAAAGCCTTCAGCCTAAAAATGTAAGTCTGATCTCATGACACAGGGTGGCCCTGCATTCCTCACCTCTGACATAACCCGCTGGGAGTGTGCTCGCGGAAAAACACAAACAAGATGTACTGGGGCGGCTGGCGGCAGGGCCAGGCGGCTGGCAGATGTGTGGGGTGGGAGAGGAGCCCCTGCTGCCCTGCAGACCATGAACACAGAGCGTTCTTTGGCAGTGCACAAGCCCACGACTTTGTTCACCCACCTTTCTCCCCCAGCCCCAACCCCATGCTGGGGTCAGTAGAATGGTAACGGAGTTGGGAAGCACACAGAGGGGAGCTGAGCTCCCCCAAGGGGTTTTGCTGAGAGTGTTTTTAGGGACTTGTGTTTTTGCAGTGAGTTGGTGGTTGTTATTTGTTGTCTTGGTTTGGAGATTTTTGTAGGGCTGTGGTGAGGAAGAGGTGGTGGGAAGAGGTTGCTGGGGTGCCCTGGTTGCAGTCTGCACAGGGTCCCTCTGGGGCACAACCAGAGATTGTGACACCAAAACCCCCACACAGTAAAACCTGTGGACCTGGAGCCTTCTGCTCCCCCCAGCAAATTTCTCAGCACCATCCTATAACCTCCTGCTCCCATCAGCAGTGATGCCAGGGGTGCATCTGCTCTAAGTGCACCATGCATAGGTGCAAGCTGTACCCTAAAGAGCACCTGTGGGTGTCATGGGGCAGCGATTCCTCCGTTGTGCATACGGAAAGGTTTGCCAGGGATCACAACCGAGCTGTCCTCCCATCTCACCCACTTGTTTACTTTCTTCTGCAGATGCCCTAAACCTTGACGACGACCTATTTTCCCTTCTGTTGTGCAAAGCTTCTTTCCTAGAAAGCGGCTTTGCAATTCTCGGTCCAACCAGCCGAGCTCTCCTCAGCATGTGAGCAGGGAATCCAGCTCCAAATGGCTGGCAGGTTTAGCTGAGCTCCAGCACACCCCGAACCCACACGCAGATGAGCTGGGAGACGTGGTCGGATGCTACCTGAGGCTGTCCTGTGAGACTGCCTGCTCCGAGGGAGCAGATGAGCAGCAGTCAGCCTTCGGACCCAGTGCTCACAACTCACTTTTCCTTATTTCTCATTCATCCGTTTGCTTCTGCTGCAGCAGACAGCAGAGCGAGGAGAAAGCTTTTCTTTCCTGCAAGGATTTCTCCCCTCTTTCTGCTCTCACTGTTCCTGAGCACAGAAAATACCTGATTGTCTTTTTTTTTCTTTTAATTTCCCATTTTGAAAAAAAGGGATTATTTCCTAAATAATTCTCCCCACAATAATTCCCAGTTTTCAGGGTGACTGCTCCTTTGGCAGAGGGAAAACAAGAAAGAAGAGGAACAAATGTAACAAGAAACAGTGGTAACAAGAGAAACTACTGTTCAAATTGGCTTCTGCAGAGCACAGTTTGCACCCAGAGCAGCACCGTGCTTTGCTCATGGCTCCCATCCTCTTCTCAGCTGCCCCTTTGCCCAAGGGCTCTTTATCCTTGCTGCTTCCCAGTGCCAGAGTCGTGCTTGGGTTGACAGCAGCACAGGTGCTGTCTCTTTCTCTGCTCACTTAAGTTTTCCACTATTTATTTTCTTCTCCATGCCTAACCTACCACCCAGGGTTTTTTTTAAGTTAACTCAAACTCAGTGCTGATTTATTTTAAGGTGCCAGGCTGTAACCTGAAGCCAGAGACATAAAATTAGCCTTGCAAGCTCCAGTTAGCCAGCTGGGAGCACAGGTTAGGGATTCATCCGACAGCAGCAATGGTTTGGGTTGAAGATTACTGCTTGCTCCCTCCTGCAGCTTGGCTTTGTAGCCAACCCTGCTCTTGTCCAGATGGATGAACTGCTCTGTGTGGAAGCAAAACACACGGCGTGAAGTCTGATGTACCAGGGACAGGGGCTGTTAATGAAGCAACTCATGAACCTTCCAACACATACACATGCACACACATGCTTTGTCCAAACAGCTGAAGTCACCAAACTTACCTTTACTACCAGGGCCTCCCAGCATTGTGGTTGTGATGTCCACGCTGGAGCATGGCTGCTATATGCATCTGACCTGCAGAGATGCTGGAGGAGATCCGGGTCACCCAAATGCCAGAGAAATGACACATTTGTGGTGCATCAGCACTTTCCTTGGCTGGAGATAGCAAGGTACCTGTCGTGAACTGTGTGGAGCTGAGAAAGCAAAGGGATGTAGAGGCCTATTGAAACCCTCCTAAAAAAGTGTTACCAGTCTGAGATTATAAAGGGAGTGAGCTACTGGGAGCACTAACTGATCTCCTTGCTGCTCAGGAAGCCATAGGACTGGTGCTTAGAAGAACAGTTGATTCTCCTAAGTGTCCTGACCTTCTCTAGATGTACAACCAACAGTCCGTGTATGGATTCTCTTGTGTCCATTGTCATAGATTGGCTTGGGTTGAAAGAAACCACAGAGACCATCCAGTTCCAGCTCCCTGCATGGGTAGGGATACCTCCCAATACCTTCAGCCCAGGGACTTGACCACCTCCAAGGATAGGTAATCACTTCCTGTGAAATAACATGATTCCTATTGTAACTACACAACTTATGCCTGGAAAACCCAAGGAGTCCTTGACTGAAGCTTTCCTTTGAATTTCAGTAGCCCTGCAAATAATTCTCCTAGGTTTGCAGAGGAGTTCTGAACGTGGCATTAGTCTGAGTTGATATGAAATAACGTGGTCTCTGGGAGAGTGTTATCCAGTCATAGTATTTTTTTTTTAAATGCACATTGAAATGCAAACAAGTATGGAACTGGCTGATGGGTAGACATCTGTCCTTATTTATGCAGGGATTATTGGGCACCTGGGAACCTTGCTGGTGAGCAGGATCAAGCTCTTGGGACCCAAGCAAGCAAGTGCATTTGTGTCCCCACTGTAAGCTAAAATGAAGCATCCTTACAGCATCTCTGCAGCCAGTGGGCTGGACTGCAGCTGTGTCTGCTTATCACAGTCAATGTGGTGCATGCAATAACTTCACCCAAAATGCTGAGCAGCCTGTCCATATAGTCCATCTGGAGGTGAAATTTGGGTACTATGAACACACAGTGTGATCTTGGCAGATACCTTTATCACTGAAACAGCACTACTTATATCTCCAGTTTCATGACTTTTGTCCATTCCAAAGCCAAAACAGAGAATGTATATGTAATGAATAACCTCTATTTAGAAGTGTTCTGTGGTTGCACCTATAGGCTTAGACTTAAGGTCAAATTACTGATTTAATAACCAGAGGTGCATCAGCTGATCCATGCAACTAACCAACTTCCTGCAGGAGTTACACCATGTTTCCAAAATTGTCATCTCTTAAGCAGTCATTCTGAATGCCTGAGCAACCTGAATGCCTGATGGCATCTGGGGTGGCCTAAAAGTCATCTCACAGCTGAAATTCATCCACACTAATGCAGATCTCCTGCCTCGTAGGTGGGACTTGAAGTCTTTCCCAGACTGCACATAGCTGTGCCATGGTTAAGGATGTAATCCTCCAACCTCCTCCTTTTCTGATAGCCAAGCACAGAAAGAGAAGAGAAATGACATTATCATAGAGTCATTAAGGTTGGAAAAACCCACTGAGATCATCTAGTCCAACCATCACAACGCATAGATCTGTAATATTCAGTTACAAGCTAAAAACTTAAGCATAGTCTCCATGCCAAACTTGACATTTCCTTTCACATTCCCTTCCAACTGAAGGAATTGAGAAAGAGAACACAACCCTGTCTGTAGTTGCTTCTGGGCAGGAAAACCCCATCACGCTTCCTCCCCGCAGCTGGGAAGGACCATCAGATTGATGATGGAAGGTCATATATCATGTATTTGCTACTTGTTTTCCACAGAACTGCAGCCTGTGGCTGCCCAAGGATGAAGAACCAGCCCCTCAGGGCTCACTTAGAGATCTCATGAACTTGTGGCTGTTGGTGGGTCTCTCTGATGGGCAGAAGTCAGCTGACGAGATGCTGATCCTCGTATAGTGTTTGCAAGATCTTTAAGAAGAATTGCATGGCCAGTGGCATTGCATTCGAGTTGTACAGTGCTAGAATGCCCTGACCATCAGAGGACCTGGATTTTATGACGCAGAGATCAGTACTGCAAAGATGTGGAGATGTTGTTCATACTGCCTGGACCTGAGCCCAGGGCTTGGGACCAGACCTGTGTCATACCCACACCTTAGAAGTCAGCACCGTGTTCATGTTTTCTTTTTGCAGGCTGAAAGTTTTCCTGGACCAGCTGAACACTTTCTTCTCCTGTAATGTGTCGTGACTGTCAGAGTGCCAAGAGACATGCCAGACCCTGGGCCACAATAGTGCTACAGAATGCCCAGAGAGGAAAGCTGGCACAAGGTAGTGTATAAAGTGGGATATGTGAAGCCACTGGCAAATAATCACATGGGTCAGTTAGGCTTGGCACAGGGCAGAGCCTGTCTGCTCATCAAGGAAGGCAAAGACAAAAATTCATCATAGAATCACAGAATAATTGAATTATTGAATATTGAATGGCTTGGGTTGGCAGGTACCTTCTAATCCCACCCAGCTCCAATCCCAGTGCCATGGACACAGCTGACATCCACTACATACAGATGCCCAGTGCCCCATGCAACCTGGTCTTGAGAAGAGTTGGGGGACTTCTTAGTGAGAGCTACAAGGGATTAAACAAGGGCGATTACTCCAGAAGGATTGAGGTAAAGGACACAGTGTTGTCTCAGTGGGGCCACGAACACATTTCAAAATAGATTTTTGTAGAAAGATGCTTCCCACTCCCCAGATATCTTGCTTCCAGCAATGATTCTCATTTCACAGTAAGGTTCAGGGCTTCTTTCTCCTGAAGAAGCATGAAGCTTGCTCACCATTGGTGCAAGGCATGCTCCTCAACTAGAAAGCTAAACCTCAGAAAATGGAAGAGCACAATTCTCCTCACCGACAGGGGAATGATGCAATGATGCAATGAGTCAGCAAGACAGACCACAGATGCTGTCCAGAAGCATTTCAGCAATTCGTTTGGGCAAGGTGGAGATATATTCCCCCAAAATGAAAGTCTCTGTAGGTTGTTACCAGTGCTCACAGCCATCTAGTCCCTTGCTAAACATTTCTGACCAAAATCCTTCCAAGCTGATCTATTTTCAGCCCAACCCACTTGATACCTTGATTGCTATGCAGCTCTTTTAGCTGCTCTTAGGTAAACACAGTCATTCCCTGGCATTTTGCCTTGCTAAGACCAAAAATATGAGTGGCACAGAAAATAAGAAAAGCTGTTCTCCTCCGCCAGGAAAAATGATACTATTTCTGAAAGGAACTGTTTTTAATACACCTCACCAACCATGCACATATACACATATGTATAAATATACTTGACCTGGAGGTCCAGTTCCAGTGTTGGCATCTTGTATGCCTATATGGAGACAGAACAGAGAGGGAATTATGTACAAACCGGGACACGCCTTCAGTCCAGTCTACGTCTGAATGCAGAATGTTGGTTAAGATAAAATACTGAGGTCTGATCCTCATTAAAGCAGGTTCACAGGGACTGGTCCAAGCTGTGACCGGGGGGTTATGGGCTGTCACGGAGAGCAACTTCTACCATAGTGACCCATGCTCCCCATATCTTAAACTGCACAGCATCCCCAGGGTTGAACCAGAGCAGGCTGGAGCAGATCAGTGTCAGAGCTCTATCCATAGCAGGCCTTGTTTTTGAGGAATGACAGTGACGTTGGCCAGACCTCAAAGTCATCTTTTTTCAGATTTCTCTTTAGCAAGTAAACACATAGAAGTCAACAACAGATGGAGCATCACATGGAGTTACGCAGGTCAGCAAAGGCTTTGGAAACCCCATGAGTTTGAGGAGGCAATAAATTGGCAGGGGTTGTGGATGGGAAATTATTCTGAGAGATGGAGAAAAAAAAATAGTGGGTTGATCTGTCTCCTCTGTGATGTGCTCAGGTTTTGTGGGCAGATAACAAAAGCTCCTGGTTAGGAAGGTTTTTGGGTTTCTCTTTGGCTGCAGGTTGTAAAATTCAAACAGAAAGGTAACAAACTGATAACAAAACGGGCAGGAGTAAAGCAAAGCAAGTGCGAAACAAAAGCAGATCTTGTGTGACAGGAGCAGATTGAATTGATGTGACAAAGGAGGAGAGCTTTTTCAGTAGCTTATATGGTGCTGAGGGGAGCTGGGAGTGAGAAATGAGGAATTTGCACAAGTGCAGAGCTACAGCATAGGGCTGTGAGTTGAGAAAGAAAGGAGAAAAGGGAGCAAAGGACACCTATTAATTAAAAAAAATAAAAATAAAATTTAAAAAAAAAAACACATTCCATTTAAGATTTATTGATAACTCAGAGCCAGAGAATCTTTCATGCCTTCACATCTCCAAGCTAACATTACCCAAGAGTGGGTAGTGGTGGGGATCCACTATGAGCCATTGAATTCAAGTGGAAAAGAGCTCCGGTCTTTAATATGCAGAAATTAAAACACTTTGGCTGACAGAGCTTTCAATCTGAGGAACCTGCACTGTAGTAGCAGAATAGCATTAGTGCTCCTGAATACACAGCTGGTAATTTTCGAGCACGAAATATCATGCATTGAAAATGAAATCGCTCCGTTTAGGAGATCAGTGCGGTGGGTATGGATGAATTCAATGCTGCATGAAAAATTAATGGTTGCCTTCAGACAGGTGTTGACTAGATGGTGGTGTTCCAAGAAAGGACAGTCCCATCTGGTTGTGGGGAGAGCTATGATGGTGTGAAAAAATAGAGTGATCAGCACAAAGAGCAGCCCATGAACTCATGTGAGAGTTTTTGTCTTGGAGGTGGAGGGCTCAGTCTGTGAGAGAAGTAGGGCTACTTCTACGTGGGGTATGAATGGAGAAATCTGAGGTAAAATGAGGCTGGATGGTTGGGGATGGGGAGTCACAGAGATAACTGGGAGCTGGAACTGATGCATCAGAGGGAGAGGGCTGAGAAATGCCAGCTAACATTGGGAGTGGACTTGATTACAGCACAGAATTGCCTCTGAGGGGAGGGGATGAGGGGCTGCCTGATCTAGGGGAGAAATATATGATAGCAGTGGGATGGAAAGCTGGGGTTTGGGCAAATCTGAATGAAAAAAAAAACAAAAACAGATTATGAATGAAAAAAAAAAAACATTTTAACAGAGATGGTGACAAATGATTAGGATGCACTGGAAGGGCAGCAGCGTGCCTTTCCCCACACCAAACCCTGCGTGCCACCTTGGCAGTTCGTGGAGGCACCTTGAGGTGACCCATCTGGTCCATTCTGCTGGAGGAGGGGACAAGCAGGTCCCAGCTTCCATCAGCTGCTCCTGGTTTGAAGTTTAGGTAGATAAATCCTTATATTTACAAAGCAAGGCTGCCCGCATGCCAAGTTGAGCTCTAAATCAGAAGATGAGCTCCCTGGGGGGAGTAATTGGTATCTTTCATGTACTGCAATTGGTCAGAGGAGTTGGGGATTTTCCTGGCTGCAGCCCACGCACCTCTGCCCATGCTGTGAGAGACGTGCAGGGCGATTTACCTATCGACAGCTCTCAGTGCTGGGTAAATATTTGTCTTATTGTGGGTTTAGCAGTGATAGCTAAAGGGCAGCGGCGAAACAAAGCCCAGGAAAGACCCAGCTCTGATCCAGTGCAGCTGGGGAAGCTGGAGGCTTTCCAGTCTGTGGGTGCTCAGCGTGTCCCTGCCCGGAAAGGGCTGCGGG